GCACGCATTCTACTTCCATTTGTACATTCGTACACCGGGGTTGGCCCGGGCGTCTCACGACCCAGGATTTGATGTCCGGACCGCTTGCGTGGTAAGCGTACCACTTGACACTACACCACTTCCGCCCGTAAATGTGGATGAACCCCTCACTCCAGTTATAATTATTAAAAAGGGCACTTTATGAGGGTAGCTTTTTGATTTCGACGCTTTCTGACTGATATTCACTCATCAATACTATTTCTTACGGAGGATAAGCTGTTCAAGTGAAGAGCTGTTCAAGAAAAGTATCAGCGATGTGCGCAAGATTAATATCTTTTTCTAAGCACATCCGGTAATGCTCACATTTGGGTCCTGCTTGATGCGAACAATTGTGTCTCGAATTTCCCGCAATTCTTCAAGCGATTCGCGATCATTCACAGAGTATACCAGTATGAATCCATGTCCATTCCTCACATACAGGTCTCTCATACCGGAGAATTGTTCCTGAAATACAAGAATAAGCTGAGGATCGACATAAGTTCAGATGTGCTAGCTAGTTGACCACGGACCGTACCAGCCGTGTCGAGGATCTCCAGACGGCAATCCTCCCCGTCGACGACAAAATGCTTTCGATAGCTATCTTCAATCGTTGCATCGTAAGATTGCACAAAAAGTCCTTGCACAAATTGTACTGTCTGAAAATTGTCACCTCAATAACTTGGAAATGGACTGGAGATTGAGCTCATGTTTAGTTACTCTGTGATCATTCTCGAAATTCTGACAACTGCTCATACAAAACGTAAGCAGCGATCAGCTGATGCCCTCTGTGTGCTACCAGCACATGGCGGTCTTGTCACGACAACCCTCTCACCAGCACACGGTTAGGTTAGGATTCCAACTGTTCTGTCAGGAGGAGTTGTTATTCCTTTCATTATTCATTTATTTGTTTATTTATTTATTAGAGAACGCGGGTAGAAATCCACGTAGACTACAAAATAAGCAAAAAGACGAAATTTCCTAACAATGACGGAAATTGGCAGGGTTGAAGAAAATTAGAAATTTTGGAAAAGAAAAGGATATTAGCAACTAATTGGCAATTAGTACCACGTACGTGCACCTTCCTTTGCCCTATCTTCTATCGACACCAATGCCGTAAGGCCGATGTCAGACTTTGCGAATCAAGCAGTTCGCTAGCATGCGCGGTCGCGTTGTGATATCAGTCAATAGCGAATTCGTGGCCGCGACGCGACCGCGGAAGCTAGCGAATCACTCGATTCGCAAAGTCTGACATCGGCCCTAACTTTTCTTTATGATGCCATTTCTAAGAGTTCAGTTCAAGGAGTTGAGGGAACGAAACTTTTTGAGGCAAACTTAGCGTGTTATTAAATTATTCTTAAAAAATATAACCACACAATATAAGCTGAGGAGTTTCGTGGCCCCAGCTCTTGCTCAGCTCTCGCATTCTCTGCTGGAAGGCCTGGAGTTGTTTTCTGTGTAACTTTATTTGCTTGAACCGTACAAGACGGTGAGTTGTGTTGGGAATGTATTCCATGGGTAGCATAAAGAGGCACGAGTTGTGCCATTACGTCGCTCAAAGATACGTGACAATGGCGCTAGGGCCTTACAAAATGAGCTAATAATGGATAATGTGAGCCTTTGACACCCAATATGAATTACGACGCAACGGCTAACTCAAAGACGCCCGAGTTGGTGAAGCCATAGAGCAAGCAAGTTCAGGCAACTCGTCCGGCCATGTCTCTCCCCCATTTCAAGGGAAGAGAGGAAGTTCTTGTTCAGGGCTTCATCGGCGGTTTGCTTTGCTTCTTTTTCATTTTCAGTCAACTCGGCATCCACAATTTCATTATCGACCGCTTTTATCCCACCAATTTGATCTAGGGTTGTTGCTCTAAAATTCCGGGGATTCGCTTTCTCAGGGCCTCCCTGAATCCACGACAGATCACGGGAACAAAAGTTGTCAGGATTTCGAACTGATCATGTTTCGCGTTCTATGTCGTAACCAGAGCTACTATGTAATGAAGCAAGTAATCAATACGAAACTTTTAGATGGGCTAGCAATAATTCTATATGGGGGTGAATTCCCGGACCATAACCGTTACAGTAGTGGCGTAATTGCCACCGTGTGCCACAACTATGTATTACTTCTTCTGCCTAAAACTCTTAAGCTGAGGCCGGTTTTGGGTTAGGTACAAATTACCGTTCAAAAACTATGAGCTACAAAACTCTATGAAGACATTCAGGGACGGCCAGTTCCAGTATTGCTAATTATAAGTTTTGTTGGTTTCTTCCGCCTCAGTTGCTCCGCCACCACCGAATCTCCTCGTCCACACAGCTATCAAAGTTTTCAAAGGTCTCGGGATAGGGCTGGCCATGTCACGTAAAATATAACACTTTTGATTATGGCACTTTTTCCTGCAATACCACTTCATGCATAAAGCTCCTAACCTCCCCTATATCCTCGAAAGCTTGAGGAAGCAGACTACACGTTGCCAAAAAAAACTCAAATTTCGTGAACTTCTCAGGGTTCTCCCCATTTGAATCTCCCACAGTTTCCCTCGCCTAGCCGTTCTTTCGGAAAAAAAACCTTTCAACACTGACACCCGCAGAACGATACCTGGCTCAGTTCTCGGCGGGCCTTGAGCAAGTCTCTGCCACCATCATACACTGAGATACTGTTTGAGTCAGTTCCAACTAATGGTCACGTCACCTGGGCCTCTCTCGTAATATGACATTTCTTCTCACTATCTTTTACCTGATATACTAACATGCACCAATGCGCCCACCAATATACGGGGGACGCATCCTCTGGGACTAAGCCTAGGAGGGCAGGAACTCTGAATGAAAAGAAACTCTGAATGAAAATGGTTCACGCACCCCGAAGTTTTTCTCCCCTCCTAAGACTTAGTCCCGTTTTCAACAAAAAAAAAACAAAACGCGGTTTCAAAAGCATTGTCACCACAATGCCCCCATATCATGCGATAGCGCCCATTTACACTTCACACACTCGGAAGATCACCCACATTAGACCAAACGACGATGCAACCTGCGTCAGGAATTCCCTTCGCACGTGGTGACCTATCGTCGGAAAATGCTCATGTTTGTCCTTTTAGGGACACCGTTAAGCCCTAAAACTTTGTCCTTTGAAAATCGTCACATTTTATTGCACAGATGTATTCTATCGGGGATAACGGGGTGGAAGAAGTGTCGTTCGTTGACCGACTGGTAATGACGCTGACCATACGATTTTATCACGAACCGGCTATACGATCCGAGACTGATGTTCAGGAACGTGATTGCAGAGCACAATATGCTAACTGAGACCAGAGAAGAGTTCGTTTATACTCAAACACCGCTCCCAGTTGGAGGAGAAATTGGGTAATGTTACCGAGAAACATGTATGGAATGGAAATACCCAGAAAAAATAAAGAAATAATCAGATAAAAAAGAAATAATATTTCAGGAAGTACTTTGATGGTCAAACTGCTGATTTTACCATTCTTCTCCTACGTATTTTCATCATATATTTTATCATATTTTATCTATAAACACCAAAGTCGTGAAAAATAAGCAGAAAAGAAGAATTAAAGCACTCACAAGGGCACTTTTGCCGACGCCACCGCAACCACAAACGACCAGCTTGTATTCTCTCATGATCTGTAGCCGATTTGAAAACAATCTCCGGAGAACTCGAAGGCTAGCGAAATCGAAGAGAGAAACTGATAAGGAGATGTTGGTTTTGGAAGTGCTGATATGATATAGGAGATAAATTGACGGGAAGAGGAGCGAGAGGGCGTAATGAGTTGACCTCGAGCGCCGTTGACGATTTTGGCGCTTCAGATCGCTGTCGTATCACTCGCCAGGCCAGCTGATCGACGCCCACAACACCTTGTCTCCGCCGCGGCGAGCGGTTTCCACGAGACCCCCCCCCCTGCGGTGGCCAGGTCTCGAACGGGTACGCGCGAGAGTTGTTCGCATTCCACGAATCGGCGCGTGTTCAGTTTTCGACGATTCGCGCTTCGGATCCGGAGACGATCGATGACGTGAAACGTCGTAAGACTTATCAACTATCTGCTATCGTTCGCAGGAAAACGCATTCCACTCGAGAAAAAAGCTGCGACTTCAAAAAAAGGCCCGTAAGAGCGATCAAATTAAGCACGCAAGTATCCGGTCTCAAGAGCATTCAGTTCCTTGATGTGAACAACAAAGCCTGGGAACCATACATTCGAACCCTTTGTGGAACAGGTAGCCGCTTGGCTAACTCGGCATTAAAATATTTTTCGAAGGAATAGGAAATCAGTGGTTCTAAAGCACGGAGTACTAGGTATACAGTCAGGTAGTGTGAGTTTGCAACATGACGGAGTTCATTTGAAGCCGCTAGTGAAGATCACTGGCGCTCCGCACCAGAAATGGCCCAGAAAGGGCATTATTATGTCCTAAAGTGTCGCAGACTCCGCCTCCAGTTGAAGCGTGGGCTTAAGACGAATAGGGTGTTATTTTGTCCCAAATGAGAACCGGAATTTCATAAGATGGGACTGTGGTTAGCAAGTATCGCGTTACTGATTACATGCCAACACATTTCGAGTTAGCCCATCTTACAAAGTTTGGCTCCTACACGAAAATAAAAGATTGAAATATCACTAGTTGTGGGCAAAAACACACGCCCCAGACGGAACTCGAACCCGCATTCTTGCTTGTTGTGTCATTACATTGAAAAACAAGTTTAGGATGAAAGCTTGTGACTTCAGGGCGTTTGCATTCTCTCGTGATTGTTGAGGGATAGATCAACACAAAAGTAATCANCTCGCTGCCTTTCACCAGAGCAAACCGTTCGGTCGCCCTATTCGAACGCGGGGGTCGCATTTAGGGTNGAGCAAAATCAACTTTTCCTCTCGNTAAAGTGCGAACGGGGGTGGTATATTTCGGAAGTTAAGGATGGCGGTTAAGGAAAATGGGGCTGTTTCACGGTTTCATTTCAGCGATTTCGCTGAAAGTACGAAAGAAGGGGCTGGTCTCCAAATAGAGTGCCATAGAAACAGCTGTTATGGTGAAGAGGGTGAGGATAGTAGTCGGAGAAGGGATAGGGGATCGTATTGGGGAGCTCTCAAACATTGTGGTTGGTGATGGAGAAGGAGTACATCAGGCCCTAGCAGCGGAGCCACGATGCGAACCTCTTCCACCACCACCACAGTGTTAAGGAGCTTCCCCTATACGATCACCCATACGACCACTACAGTGGGAAATTGGGTGGCAAAATTTTGGAAAAAGTGCGAACTTGACGGTTGACCCTGCTTGCAACTCTCGTTGAACCAGTAATGGTAGTAACGAATGACCAATGATCGGAGACGATCTTATCATTCAAGTTATCATGAAAGTTGTAATTAAAAAGAGCAGACCTGCTCGAATTGCATTAAATATGAGCAGACCTCCCAAATTGCCCTCTCGCGCTTACCACGTTCCCATTATGGGCCCTCTCATAGCTGATCAGCTATCTGGCGCATGGTTAATGGGCCGTCCCGTCTTCCTCGAGTGTGACCCGCTCAGTACTGACTTGGCCCACTAGCTTCGATCCTATACTATAACTTAATGCTTCTACCTGATATTCAAGCCCACCGAAGAGAGACGTGCCAAGGAGAAGTTTCCTCAAAAGCCTCAGCCTCAACTTCATCAAATTTCAAAGCTTCGTTTTACTTAGTTCATTACCCTCAAAAACATTTGGACCCTCTCTCTTGCTAGCACCTGAACTTTGTTTTTGAATGATTTGTTTATTGACTCTACAGGTATTACGTCAACAAAAGAGGTTTGATAAGAAGCTTATCTCAGCCATGGTCCGTGTGCCCACTTGAGGGCTTCGAAAACAAAAAACGGAGTCAGAAATTATAGATTGCATGTCCATCTATACTGAAGTGGGCGGAAGTGGTGTAGTGACAAGTGGCGCGCTCACCACGCGAGCGGTCCGGGGATCAAATCCTGGGTCGTGAGTCGCCCGGGCCAACCAAGCCTTCCATCCCTCCGGGGTCGGTTAATTGGTACCAGACTTGTCTGGAGGATAAAAACACTGACTTGTACATCGGCTGGCCCCCGCAAGTCATTGTATAGGCCACATCGCATTCAAACGCCACTACGAATGTACAAATGGAAATGCGTGCCGCATCCCAAAAAGGGATTGATCAACGGCAAATGCTTTATCTTATTTTTATGTGCCTGAAGTCGTAAATTCGTGCCAGTTATGGCCTTCAGACTACTTCATGCATATCTGTTTATAGAAAATCTTGGGAAAACGCCCAACAAAAAGGACATGAAGATGGGAGCACTCGCGGCCAGCTATTAACACGCTCTTTCAAAAAACATAAAATGCAATTTCAAACCCGTTTAGGTCACCTACATGGACTTGTTTGTGGTCGAAGATGATCACGAAGAAGTTGTTCAATCAGTAGCACAATTAAGCTGAAGGGCAAGCATTTTGGTTGGCAGGAGAAACCCCTATGGCACCAGGTCTTGACAGGCCATAACCTACCACATCTTCATTTACTCGAAAATCCTCCAAACACTGATACGAAAATTTCACTCTTCTTTTGTAGCAATCATATATTCGCGGCTCGAAGCATAGAAGAATAAATTAATCGGCGTTGATCAATCTCGTTTTGAGATGCGCCATGCATTCTACTATCACTAGGAACCTTTGTGGAATTTTGAATGCGAATTGGCCTACGCAATCACTTATGGGGGCCAGTCGATTGATGATTTTGAGCCAGTTGATGTTCTATATTCTCACCCAAGTCTGGTACCAATTCACCAACACCGATGGGAAGAATGGGAGGCTTGGTAGGGCTAGACATGGAACGCTCCAGGATTTGGCCCCCTGACCGTGCGCGTGGTAAACGGCGCCACTTGCCTCTACGCCTACTTCTGCCTCATTTACAGCTTAACATATGAAAATCAAACTTATTTGGTCTCAAAGTAGTGGTCCGGCTACCATTTTGAATTAACGGCCAATGAAAACCCCTAGTGAAACCACCTTTGGGTGCTTACCGGATCTGCAACTAAAAAGCCTACCCATCTGGTTGCTCAGGCTTCACCGAAGAATGATTTTTTCATCCGCAACGGGTTTCAAAGAAATGGGAAAGACTAAGAAAGGTGGACTTTCTCTGAGAACACATCAACCTTGAGGCGAACTAACAACTAAAGCTCCACAATATCAGAATAGCTGCACCACTGATTGGTCTTATGAGGAAGAGAAGATGTGGCGTGGTCGAATTCGGCCTGAGAAGTCGAATATTCGAGTAGCCTATAGAGAGAGTCGGCTTCGAACATGTGCTAGTCCAAGATTCTTAAATTCCTGACAGGGAATAAACTGATGCGAGCGTTGAGCGACTGCAGCTGTCAAACGATCAGCAAATAGCTCCAATCAGGGTCGGGACAGCGATCAACAAAGCCAGCTAGTCAGACAGCATAAGCAGCCGCAAGATGGCGAAATGTCAGCAGAAGGAGTTGGCCCGAACCAGAGCCGAATTCCTTTCGGATGAAACAACAACGAGAGGTTCATTGGGTAGCGAACGGAAGCCAGGAACATGCCACAGCGACAGAACATTGAAAGCGCTTGAACGAAACGTAATGAACGACGAAAAACTATAGACTGGTGTTTCAAACCGGAGGTGCTATTCGAAACCATCAAAAAATGCATTAGTGGAACGAATTCGTTCCGCAACCGCTAAGAACAAATGTCGCGTTAATCATCTCAACGGGCTTTTGAACCCAGCATGCGCCGAATGGCCGCCAGATGGGAATGGAACTGCGGAAGCCACCAACATCTACAAATGGTACAATAGTCATCGCTTTAATGACATTCTGGATCAGCCATACGTATGGTTAACGTCCACTGTCCAAAAACTCTGGGGAATTCTTT